AGAGAGAGAGAGAGAGAGAGAGAGAGAGAGAGATGGAGCAGCCCTCCATACGATGGGTTGCCGTCGGTCCTCTACAGAAAACCGTGTGCCGCCAGGAAACAAGGAGCAAAAGAACAGAAGGAAAAATGGGCAAGAGGTGGTGATGGTGGGGGGGAGAGAGAAAGCACAAAACAGGCACTAGATAGATACGGCCAAGAATGTACTAAAAACCACTTGTTAACAGGTGACATGCATTCACAAGCTCTGTTTCCGTTGTAAGAAAGGAGGACGAGTGTCAGGCGCGGGAATGAGGACTGCGGGGCAGCCGGTCGGGGGCTGACCAGGCTGCGGGCTTGCTCGAACGCGCCCCAGGCCCAATGCTCTGCACACCGCAGGCTCATTCTTGCTCTTTCTGAACCACTTCCTCTCTGGGCCTGGCTCCCCCAAAGATGGCAGAGTTGGGGTTGGCTACTTGATTGAGGGGCGTCGCCACTGTTCGAGGTTTAAGCTGGAGCCGAGGTCTCTGTGCTCGTTCCTCTGCGGGAGAAAACACAGGGCAGAATGAGCAACGCTAGCCACTGGGCTTCCAACGCCAACTGCCCTGAGGGACCCCATGCCAACCCCAGGCACCACAGGCAGGCCCCATTCCACGCTCGAGAAGGAGGCTGCTCGTGGCCAAGGGGGCTGGTAGTGGCCTTCACAGCCGGCAGGTGACTTCCGAGGTCAAGCCAACGGCTCATCGTGAGGTGCCTCCCCCCCACAGGCAGCCATACCTTCTGTGGGTTCTCTGAAGTCCATGCCGGATCCTCGAAGGGGAGGGCCGTCTCGGAAACGACTCCCCCCCATGGGGGGGCCTGTTCGCCGGTCCCCAGGGCGACTGCCGCCCCTGCCGCCTAAGAAGTCATCCCGGAAGCCTGGAGGAGAGAGGAAACCAGTTATGGATTGGGTTTTTCACCAGGTGGGCTCAGCAGTGTTATTTTAAGACGCGCTCGGGTTTACATTCTTCTCGACTGGTCACTGTGTCCAAACTCAAGAAATGCCCTAACAGGAGCCCAGGGGCGATGTGCTCGGCGAGGAACAGCACCAGCAGAAGTTCAAGGCCAGAGCGACAAGAACACGGGGGCTGTTTAATGAATGCCACCGAGGGGGTTGCCGCCCCCAAAGGCGTGTAAAACTACCCAGGATCCTCAGAGCAAGTTGTTTGGTCTGCTGGGATCAGCCTACACTGGACTCCTCTTCAGCGGCGCACACGGAACCACAAGGAACGTTCTGGGACATGAGGACAGAATGAAACATGCTGTCCCCTGGGGTGACACTCCCCATTCCGTCTCTGCTGCCTTTCTGAGGGCGGCTCATTCTAAAACCAAGACACCAGTGTGGCAAACAAGTCGGCTATTCACGACGACTCAGGTCCTTCCGGGGGTGGGGTGGGGGATGGAGGTGTGAGGTGACCAGCAGGGTGTCTCGGGCCTAGGGTTTTTGCTGGACCCACTCACGGAGGGAACCTGGCTTCAGCAAGGCCCAGAGTCGGGGGGTGGGGGGGAGTGGGGCGCATTTCTCACCAGGGTGGGGAAGCGAGAGCAGGGCCTTGTGGGTGTTAAGAACTTTAGGTTTCTTGGGTCAGGAGAGGACCTGTCAGTAAATCATGTTGTTCTCAGCACACTTGCTTCCTGGAACGCCAGGGAGGGAGGCTGTGTGCTGCCCGGGGAGGTAGGCTCTGTGAAACGCTGGGGGCAGGTGCTTTGAAGTTCAGCAGGCCATTTGTCTTCTTGAGAAGCTGGTACAGGGGCTGCCCGGCCCTGACCCGGCCCAACCACCACCAATCATACTTTTCTGACAATGCCATTGCCCTCACACGCACACAGCTTCTGGCTGTCTGTCCACCATTCCGTTATGACACTTCACACTAGTGGTCTCCTTGAATTGGTTTTGTCTTTATCCTATTTAAAACTTAATAAATGTAGCTCTATAAATAAAAAAAAAAAAATGAACTTTAGGTTTCTTATTTGAAGAAAAAGTCTTTCATGTTGTGCACAGGTGGGTGCTAGGTGCGTGGTCAAGCTGATCAAGGCTCTAACCGTCCAGTCTATGGGAGTTGGAGTGAGTGTGCAGTGCAACCAATGTTGGGAAATGTGGCAACAATGAAACAATCGTTGGTTCTCAGAAAGACCTGACCACTCTGACCCACCGCTGAGACGCGGCCGAAGGGCACTGGCACAGGAGGGCGTCTCCGAGGGGAACTCGGAGCCCAAAGCCTACTGTCCGCCTTTCCCCGCTGCTGGTCCGAAGGGATCCCGCACCCTGGAGCTCAGCCCCGAGACCGAGTGGAACAGCATCCGTGAAGGGATTCTAAGAAGATGCAGGCCCACGAGAGGCCCGCTGACCACACCTCACGGGGCTGCAGTTCGGCAAGTCTAAGTCTTTCTGACGTCTGGCAGGGGGCCAGAGCTCATGAAACTAACAGCCCCAGTAGGCAGGACGCCCCTCTGCTCTCGACAGTGACTCTAAGCCCAGAGGTGTAGCCTCCCTCGAGTGGAAGGAGGCGGCCACCACAGCCTGGCACAGCACAGAGCAGCCCACACTGGCACCGGCGGGCCAGGCGGGGAGCAGTCTGGACAGCAAGGTCCCATGACACCTGCTACAGGTGGGGTGGGGTGGGGCGGGGTGGTGGTGAGAGAAAGGCCAGGCCAGGGGCTGCGAGGTCTAAGCAGCTTACTGGGCCAGAGGGGCTATCGCTCGTTTCCCACCCTGGTGGTCTGCTTTTTCTTCTCGGGACCCCAATGCACACATGCCCTGTCCGGGGGGTAAGCAGGTTTTGTTCCCTTTTTAAAATGAGCACTGGTCTTATTTTCGAGGAATCTCTTGGGGCTTAGGACGTCACCAACACCGACTCCACATCCTGCCTGCCGGCAAGCCGTCTCCATGGCGACATTCACACAGGAGCTCTGCTGGGGAACCCAGGCTCAGCCAGTAGCAGAGAGGCCTAAGGTGAGAGCGGCCACAGGTCTTAGCCCAGAAGCCCACTGCCTTCAAGACCAGGAAACG